CTGGGGAATGGTTTGCCGCAGAAGAGCGGCAGGAAGAGAGCAGGAGAGGATGTCTCGTCAGAATGACACGATCGCGGTGCTGCTTGTGCCGGGAGTGAGGTGATTCCTCGTCGCCGGCTGGAAGGCGCACTTTCGTGCTGAAGAGCCGCTTGTAAAGGCCCGAGACTTGGCCGGCAAGACCCTTCTTCGGGGCACGGTGATGTTGATGTTTGGGAGGAAGGATGTGGTTGTCCCGGAGGAGAGAGCGCTCCTCATCGCGGCTGCGGGTGCGTTCCGTGCGAGTGAGCAAGGCTGGCTCGTCGAGCGCACCCGGGCCAAAGGCGGGGCGTGTGGTACCAAATGCGATGCCGCTTGGCCGGCGGTAGAGGGTTGGCCCGGGAAGAGCATCAGCTTCATCGTCGTCCTCTCCCTCTTCGATCGCCTCTGTGTCAAAAGGCACCTCTCCATCTTCATCCGAGCACTCCGCTAAATCACGGGCTAACATCTCCTGTGCCAGAGGCGACCCCGAGCGAAAGGACGACGCAAAAGCTGATTGGATGTCATGATGGCCCGCCGAAGGGCTGTTCTTGGCCGGGATTGGCTGGTTTCCGGAGCTGGAAGGCATATTCGGTGCGTCTGCGAGCCTTCGAATTGGTGGTTGACGGAAAACGGATGCTCTGTGATGCAGGATGACTGTTCGGCTGTATGCAACACCAAGCAGCACGAGTCAATCCAATCCAGGGTCCGAGTCAACAGTTCATCCAATTCACCCAGTGCCAAGAGGTACAGCTCTGAGCCTTCCTCCTAAAACTAAAAAATAAAGGCTTCAGCACAGCAGAGCGTAGATAAGAATATCTTGAAGTTGAGAGGGCGGCCCAATGCCAATTCTAATATTGGTGGCGAGCAAGTCGAAGGAAGGATGTATCGGTGAAAAAATGTTGTTGGGAGGGCGTATAAAGCAGGCTTAGAGGCTTGGAAGCTTGCCATTGGACCCTAACCCTAAGGTACTCCTGCCCCTGGAAAGAGCTGGGGGTGGGGTGACGTCGCTTATCGCCCCGCTGACATGCGATAAGAAGGCGGTAAATTACTGCAAAATATTGAAATTCCATGCGCGCTGCGCCAAGTTCAAGTCGAGCATGGACATGCAAAAAAAAAAAAAAAAAAAATAAACCATTGCGCAACATAGTATGGGGAAACGGTTTACTCGCGGCCCAGACGGCGCTGGCGCATCGAGGAAGAGGCAAAAAATTGTCCATGAAGCACCGACATCCGAGGAAATCCACGCGAGCAGACAATTGCAACAACTACTCTCATTCAGTCAGGACCCAGTACGGGCCCGGCATGGTGCGTGAACTTGCTGTTGATAGTTGTCCTGTAGTACTTTTTGTTATCAGTAATGCCTAACCCTCCGCTCATAGGTCTACAATCCTTCAAACTCTTTCTCGACGACTTGCTTGACCCGGACAGCGACCATGGCGACCGGCCCAAGATCCTACGGGACTACCTCCAGTTCGCGAGGCCCGCCGACGACGACGACGAGAATACGGTCTGTCTACCAGACATGATGCAAACATGGAGCTACGCCGCCCAAATCAACACCGACAAACAAAGACGTCTGCCGTGCCGGTCGTTCTTGCCCTGCTCCTGAAGCTGCTCTCGCAATCCCTCGAGACGGTGCCTTTGGGGCTAGCTATTTGCAGAACCCTGCTGCAGAAACGCCAGCAGGAGCTGATAGCGCGCAACTTGGCTGCCGACAAGGGAAAGGCCTTCATAATCTCGCCAACTTTGAGGATGTTGAAAGAGGCCGTTAGCTTTGACGGCGGTGCCGTGGCGAGGCCCCTTTTCCGCGCTAGGGCGTCCATGTTGAAATCGCTGGCACGGAACATGGGCATTGTACACATCGGAGAGGAGGCCGAGGATACCAAGCGGCCATCAGCCCGCACCAATGCCATCCTCTTCTTCCTTAGCGCCCTCAAGTTTCTCCACCCGGAGGCGAAGAAAGAGCTGCTGTCCCAGAGAGACATCGTTTCTGCGCTGACGCGCGATGTCAAGCAGGACCCGCCCTACCTCGTGCGGGAGCTTTTAGAGGGGCTGCGGAACCATGTCCTGTTGGACGACAAGCTCCTACGCGAGGCCAAGGCGAATCTGCTAAATACGTCAACGCTTACCCGCCTCGCAGCACTTTACCAATACCGTTTAGGCACGCCTGCCGATGATGAGACTTCAATACCCGACATCGCCCACAATTTTCTCATGACGGCGTGCACTGATCCGGCCTGTGGTGTGTTGAGACAGGATTCCGGCTTCTACCCGAGGGAAATTGACCCGGATACCGTGGTCCCGACCGCCGAGCTCGACGACTTGGGGCTAGAAGCCATTGTTTGGATGAACAAGTTCAAAACTGAGGTCCCTGTTCGAAATTATACCTTGTCAAACTTCTTGCCAAACCTACGTCCGTGGTCGAGCGTCAAACAGAGCGAGCTCATCATCTCCATCTTCAAGGTCGCTCCCGAGTTGGTCGCCCACTACTTCCTCACCAATAAGTCCTTCACCTTTGAACCCAAACTTTCGGCCACATGGATTGGCTATGCCGCTTTCCTCTTCAACACGGTCACCCTCTCCGTCCCCGACTACTTCTGTCGCGCGGGAACCTTTCGTGAACTGCCCCCACCGACTTCAATCGTCATGGACAACATCCTACCTCTCCCACTAAACCAGAAGGCGCTAACCCGGAGTCTGACCAACAAGTCGAACATGATTTCGTTCTTCGCCACTCGCATCTTAGTAGTTGCCATTGAAAAGTTGGATGCCGCGATCAAGATGCACCAAGATGCGTCCCACTCCAACAAGACTGTTTGGGCGGAGGCCGCACGCAGGTTGGTGGATGAGTTCTGCCAGAGGAGTCCTGGTATCAAGGAAATGATCAACTCGTACCGAGCCATACCAGAGGGCGATGTTCTACATCGCGAGGCAGGCAGCCGCCTGTTGCGCCTCTGCTACGAGGTGCTGCCGCAGGTCGCTCTCATGGCCAAATTCGACGTCTCTCCTTTCCTAGAAACAGCTCTGGGCCGCTTGTCTGGACAAGAACTTGATGACCCCCGGGACTTCGCTCTAAATCTAAAGGAGTTGGAAAACTTGCTTGCCATTGCCGGATATTCGCCCGGAATGCGTTGGTTTACCGCGCCAGAGGGGATGTCGCTTTCTCCATTCACGCTGCTGCTGAAAGTTTACGTCGATGCTCCGGACGGGGTCGCGCTGGAGGCAATACGGAGCGTTCTCAACTTTGTCGCCGTAGAGCAACAGCTGGTGCCCACCGTTGACAAACACCCCGGGCTTCTTGCCCTTCTCGAGGCGTTACAGTCGCTACGCCAGTCCTCGCCAGACTCCACCACACCGCTATGGCCTTTCTTAGACAACTGCCTGACGCGTTGTGCGAATACCCCAGTTAAGTACGTCGAAAAGATGCAAGAGGTAATACAAAACATCATCCAAACCGCAGAGAAAGACCTTGAGGGGGCGGTCGCAAGTCCGATTGCAATGGCTATGCTGGAGCAATTGCCGTTTGTTGCAGCAAAGGATGGGGGACAAGCCATCATTAAAGCCCTTGGCCGCTTCTTGCCCGGATTCTTGGGGCTGTCAGCAACTGCTGGGGAGAGCAGACCGTTACTCGACTCAATATTCTCGAGCATGGTGACATACCTTGCTGACAGCAAGGGCAAGCTCGCCAAGGCCGGCGTGCCAAAGGACCTGGAATTCGAGCACAATCCAACGCCTCGGAACACAGAAACCAAAGCCAAGAAGCCCAGGAGCACGACCGCTAGCCAGGCGGAGGAAAAGTCGGAGCCCCAAATGGATGCCGAGGCCTTGGAGGACACGCTACACCTTCCGGATAGTTTGGAGGCAGACAACGCAGCTTTGGTGAAATGGACTACCAAGACAGTGGATGAGCTTGTTGATGAGGGCTACCTCACATCACTCATCGCCCTGCTCGTCTCAGAACACGCCAGCATACGAAAAGAAGCGCTCGTCAATATCCTCAAGGCTGCGGCAAAAATCAAGCAATCTGAATACGAAGAGAAGGAGCAGATCTGGTTGCTCCTCTCAGAACTCGCCGAGACGGCAAGGGACAACATCAACGACGGGCCACTACCGAGCGCAATTGCCTCGTTTGCATGCCACGCGCTCAATGTCCTCCGGGACCCCCTCTCGAGTCTCTACTCCAAAGTCAACATCTTTCTCACGCGCGGACCGTTCTGGAGCCTGGACAGGTTGCCGCTTGTAGACGAGGTCCTCTCGGAGGAGCCGATGGTCGGGGACACATATTACGCTCAGACAAATTGGCTTTTGGAATACCTGATTGACGGGCTCCGCACGCCACACGATTTCGAACTGTTCCATAAGAAGCGGGCGAAGGGCCCGGTACTCGAGCGGATCCTGGCGCTGGCGGCGAACCCATACATGAGGCTGCCGCTCCGGAGCCAGGTGCTGCGGTTGCTCTACCGGGCTACCCGAATCGAGGGGGGAAGCACGACGCTGACGACAAGATTCGGTATTGTAAGCTGGCTTGACGCGAGACAGGCCGGCTGCTCGGATGCCGGCGAGGCAGTCATCTATGGGGCGTTGCGAAGGAGGGTATGGGAGACGTGCGACCAGGACAGGGTTAGGGCTTGGAGTAGGGGTTCGTTGGGTGTTGGGCAGGCATAACTTTAGCATTGTGGTGTTGATATTTTGAGAACCTAATGGAAGTAGCGGAAAGAGCCAGCGTAGCGAAGATTCACTATCAGATCATAGGTATTTTCCCTGCAGCCTGCCAATGCATCTTTCCTACGGTGCGACATCAAATCGATGGGAAGCTGGGAGCGGTTTGTCTGAGACAGAAGGAGGCAAGTTTCACCAAGAAACTGAAAATGCAACTGGCAAGAGCATATAATAGTAGGTTCAATTTGTGAGCGCTGCAAATGGCCACTAGGATATCAGTATTCTTTAAGGTCCTCGTAGGTAATTTATACCTATCTTCATCGAAGGATGGAAGTCACAAACCAGATACCTGGGCAACTGACAGCAGGAACCCCGCTACTCAGACGAACACCCTTGCCTTGTATTGGCTCCCTTGCCCAAGCTTGGCCACGCCACCCTCGTGTAAATAAAGCCTGGTCAAGAGCGACCATTTGGGGCTAGGGCCGGTTTTAATATTGATTTGATGGACTGCGACCTGCCACAGGCGGCAAACAAGATCCATGGCAGCCCAAAACCGAACGCAACCATGAAAGCTATTCCACAACCAATTCATGAACAGCGCATCAATACTCAACCACCGCTACACCTACAAATCGCGCACTTCTAGCACCTAGCGAAAGGATAAACACAGGCCGTACTTTTAATCCCCCTTTTTTTTTTTGCCTCCCCACCGCCGACTCACTCCGCCTTTTTGTTGTGCTCCCACCCGAGTAACTTGGATTCGAAAGCACCGCAACTGAAACCCACGCTCCTGCACATCTAACCGCATCTCATCGAGACACCGCCAGCTCACTCAACACCCGCCGAGGATAGACTCGACCATCGCATACAGGCCGCCTTTTAATCTTGAGTTGATGGTAGTCGACATGGCTGAACGGTATACGGCAGAGTTTCTGCTACATCTGCGGGACTCGCCGCTATGCGTTAAGCCTCCAAATCTGCCCCCTCCTGAGGAGTGGATGGGGTATGCAATTTCCGCCTTCCCTTTACCTACCACGTACACATGCCCTCTCCTACGCGGCCTGTATCTAACTTTGCTCTTCTCTAGGCCACCTCCGGAGACATTCCGGACCCAGCAAAAAATAACCAACGACCGCCCCAAACCCGGAGAAGGCGGTGCGCTCTTGAATCAAGAGAACAGGCGCCCACCCCATGATCGCAATGGGTCGAGAAATGCATCGAGTATGTCTCATCCCCTCATGGCGAGGCAGCCAGACAACGCCTGGCGGTTGTCTGGTTTTTCTTTTTGGGTTTTTTTTTTTTGGACCGTGTACCTTGGGCTGACCGACACCACACAGACCCCGATGAGATTATTCTTGGTCCACCGCGGACCAGCTTCGCATCTGCATCCGCCACGTCAATGCGCGGCGTTCGGAATAGTGACGCCGAGAAGGGATTCCGGGGACAGGAGCGACAGGACCGTACCGACCGCTTCGCCTTCCGTGACCGCGCTAACGACTCGGACAACCGAAACAATACCTCCCGCCGGCAGCCTGGCCAGGGTCAAGACGGCGAAGGCTGGAACACTGTGCCGCCGCGCAAGAGCTTTGGCCACGAGGGCGCTGAGCGCTTCCAAGGGCGCATGGGTGGCGTCGGCAATGACCGCTTCGGCCCCCGGGACGACAACCGCCGGCCGCGGGATCGAGACGACCGAGAGGGCGGGGATCTCCGCCGCAACCGCGAGTTTGAGCGCCGTTCGCGAGACCAAGAGGCCGAAGACCCCGAAACCCCACGCAGGAATGGGCTGGGCCGGGGCAAGTCGGAGTCCTGGTTCAGGGAGAATGCGGCCGGCGGCAGCTCTGATGCTCCTCCCAAATCTCAGCGGGAGCGCATCGAGAAGGCCAAGAGCTGGCGCGACCGGGACCCTGAAGACAGCAAACCCAACGACAGGTATGGCGACCGTAACGACAGAAACTTTGAGCGAAGGTGGGATCGCGATCGCCATGCGCGTGTCGAGAACGACCCCGAGTGGCTGGATGAGCCTCTCGAGGACAAGCCCCAAGGCCATACGGAAGAGGACTTCAAAAAATTCATGGAGACCATGAAGGCGGGCCGAAGCGGCGGTGCTCCGAAGGAGGAAGAGAAACCCAACATGGTCTTCGATCAGCCACCAGTTGCCGCAGCTGCCGCAGCCGTCGAAGTCGAGCACAAAGTTACCTCGGCTCCTGCTACTGAGCAGGCGCCGGACAAGTTCTTTGCCGCCTACGGTAGTGCCGGTCTCGACGTCGGGACGCCGATTGCCGAGGTGAAAGACGCGGCTAAACCAAGGACTGGAAAATCTTCGAGATTCATGGCGTTCCTAAATCCCCAAGAGGACAACCGGGCGAGGACCGAACCGCCGACTCCCGCGGCGGCGGTCCAGCCGGGCGACAGGCCTGGCCCGGCTCACCAAACCGAGGCCGAGAAGGAAGCGTTTGCCCTTCTCATTCAGAAGCTCCAGAGGTCAGGTCTTGGGCCGGCTTTGGAACCGAACGCACCCCAATCGCAGGCGACCCCCGGCAGGTTTCCCGAGACCTCTCCTTTCCAAGAGCTGCTCCAGAAGAGCGCAATGGCTTCACCGGAACCATTCCAGCAATACGGCAACCAAGATAGGCGCGAAGACCCGCGCACACGCGGCTCCCAACACTCCCTACACGACATTATCTCCCCTCGTCCGGTCGGGCTCCCAATGCCCCCCCCACAGGTTTCTCGCCCGGAGCAAGCCCTGCAGGATCTCCTCGCTCAGCGCCACCATCTTCCCGGCCAGCCTCTCGCACGCGCAGAACAACAGAATATGACGGCCGTCAACCGAAATAGGGAATTCTTAGTGGGTCTCATGCAGGGCCGCCGCGAGACACCAGAGCCACCACGCGCCGAGCAGCTTATGCTCCGCATGCCGCAGCCGACCAAGCAGGTGCCGCTCGCCAACATGCCGGACCGCGAGCAAGACCACCCCCGGGAGCGGAGCTCCTCCCAACGCCAGCAGATGCGCGGCGGCCCGCCGGGCTTCTTAGACGAGAACCAATTCCATCCAGGAGACATCGACGGCCGCCCACCCCCACAGCCGACGCAGATTCTGCAGCGCCCCCCTCCTCCTCCTGGTCTCGACCACCAGATGCACCACTTCCACATGGGCGGAGTTAACCCCGCCGCCGCTGCCGCTGCCGCCGCTGCCGCAGCCGGTCAGATGCCCCCCCAGCGACCCATGATCCCGCCTCCAGGGTTGATGAACAACGGACCCCGCAACGTCCCCATGCCAGGCATGTACCTCCCTAACTTTCCGCCTCCACACGGCCACGGCGGTCCGAGCAATTTCCCCCCGGGGCCTCCTCACAGCGGTGGTCCCCCGCCGCCGGATGGCATGGGCGGCCCGTCTTCCGGTCCCCCACGCCCAATGCAGCCGCCACCGGGATTCTTTGGCGGCCCGCCCCCGGGGTTCATGCCCCCTCCTGGGATGGGTGGTGGCCCCGGCTTCCAGGGCCCAGACGGGCCCCAGCCGCGTAATGCCGGACCCGGCCCCGGACCCGCACTCGGTATGGGCGGGTATGGTGGGCCGCCGAATCTATTTAACGAGTTAGATCGCCTGAACGGCCTCGACCGGCGCGGGATGATGCCTCCTCCTGGTGGATATAGAGGCCCCTGAGCGATTGGTCAGTCTGATTAAACCTAAACCTTAGGTCCGGCTTTGACGTACGGACGGGGACGGATGAATAGATAAACGGGGTGGGTGGGTTGGTAATGAAGTATCTCCGGCCCGTTTTATTCGCAGCGGCTTTTTTGTTATTTGGGCCACGGTCAGAGGTGCTGGGGTCGGGTGTCACGGATGGGGCCATGCGGAACAATCCATGTTTTATTCACCGTCCTATGTGCCCGCCTACCAGAGCGTAGGCCAGCCAGTCAGTATTTATTTTACCTATTCGGGGCAGTCATTGTGATAGCGGAAAAGGGAATACGGTTGGGTGGCGGGTGCGGTCACGGTCGGTCACGGTCACGGTCAGGGTTCACGAGAAAAAAAAAGGGCCTACAAAAAAAACGGACGGGTTTTTCACTGGACTGGACTGGACTGGCTGGCAATGGCGGTTATGGGACGGGGCGGGTCGTCTTCGCGTTTGAGCCGGTTTGGTCGGGTGCACGGGGTTGGGTTGGCGTGTCTGTCTGTATGGTATTATGGCATGGTAGTGGTTGTAACGCTGTCCTGTTATGTGGGTCATACCGATCTATCCCGCTGTTCTATGTTCTGTGCTTGGTTGTGTCGACTCTCGTCAGAGTTGAAGTCTGTTTGTGGCGTCTGCGCAATACACTGCATTGTGGTGAGAGAAACAGAGAAAGCTGGAGGGTATTTTCACAAGCTTACCAA